TCCCTTGGAATAAGCTGCAAGCCCCAATAATCGATTATCATATACTGATAATCGACTATCTCCCTTCCCTGAAGTTTCTGGGTTTTAGCAGCACAGCTCCACAATCGATTATCACCTGGCCACAATCGATTATCACCTGCTCCTGAACCTTGAACTCAAGCTGCATCATCCCTTAATTCCTTCTCAAAATAACAACTCGTTTAGACCCCCGGTTCGGGCCTAACACCTTCGTCATTTTTGGATGACTCTATGGAGAAAGTTGGGTACTAAACTCAAGTTTAGTAAGTCTAGCCACCCCTAAACCAATGGGCAAACCGAGGTCACCAACCGCACCCTTGGAACTCTCCTCCGAGACCTCATAAAGAAAAATATCAAACAGTGGGAGGAGCTACTACCACACGCTGAGTTTGATTACAACCGAACCCCGAACAAGAGTACCGGACTATCCCCCTTCACCGTTGTCTATGGTTCGAATCCCTTGACCCCACTAAAGCGTGATCCTATCATAACAGGTACCAAGTATAGTTGGGAAGCGGACAAGAGATCGAAGGAAATTCAGAACCTTCACAACAAAGTTCGAGAAAGAATTGAAGTTGTGATTGAGAGAATTAGCGCGCGCATCAACAAAGGAAGGAAGGATGCCCACTTTCAACTAGGAGATCTTGTTTGGATTCATCTTAGGAAAGAGCGTTTCCCAACGAAACGCAAGTCGAAGCTGTTACCAAGAGCCGTTGGACCCTTTGAGATATTGGAGAAGGTAAATGACAATGCCTACAAAATCAACCTTCCAGGAGACTATGGAGTATCGGCCACATTCAACATCAAGGACATCACCCCGTACTTTGAGCTTGAAGAATTACGAGTTTGAGGACAAACTCTTTTGAAGAAGGGGAGAATGATATACCCCGGGCAACTACCAACGACTCTAAAGTCGTTCAGCAAATTAACGGAATAATGGCTAAATGTTATGATTCCTTTTGGACCGAACTTATCAATCCTAAAACCCGCCACATAGCCCTAATTTCCCTGAGCCCAACACCCACTTAAAACCCAGCCATTCTCATCCAAGCCAAACCCCAAAATATCCAAAATAACAAACCCAAAACTACATTTCTTTTCCTTACCCTTCCTCCCTCCATCCCTGACCAAAAACCCCAGCCCATAACCATGCCATTACCACTTCCTTACACCTCAACTTGGTTAAACAAACAGCCACAAAATCCAAGACACTTTGAGCCTGTTATACCGCGGGATGCACCTTTACACGCGCCACTAGTATTACAACAAGTCAAGTGTTTAATGTCTAGGTGTTATGATCCATTTTGGGTTGAACTCATTCACCCGTCCCACATTAAAGCCCGAACCATGACACTTCTCTCCCAAAAACCAACCTAGGCCGAAATGCCTACAAGCCCAACACACTCCCACATATCCAAAAGTATTTCATTTGCCTTTAATAACCAAAATAAAGTCATTCATCTTCCTTTGAAGCCATGGCCGAAAATCCAAGAGACAAGGACAAACAAAATTGCTTTGTGTGTGTTGTTTTCTTTTCTAGTATTCTCTACTTTGAATAAAACCTTCCCCCACCTTTCCCTACTTCAAACCCACGAAATTACATTCCCTTTTGGCCTTAGAATCCATCTCCATTCATCACAATCCATTACAAAACACAAAAGACCAAATCAAGAGACAAGGATTAAACATGTCTTTTGTTTTGGTGTGAAAATCATTCAAAACCATCCCCCCAACTTTCCTTGTCCCATGGCCGAATTCCTCCCCCCAAACATCCCCCAAATCAGTTCTCAAACCTATAATAAGGCCAAAGGAATAAACAGCCAATCCCTTGATGTGTCACATACCTTACTTTGCATAAATGGACAAAATGACACACTCCCTCACCCTACCCTTCACATGGCCGAATTTCCCACCCAAAGACAGCCCATTTTCACCACCATGAACCCTTTTAGCCTTGATCAATGAGGACAACCTATGGGATCCATCAAATAGACATTATGCACTTGAATTGTAGGAAAGAGTGGTGAAGTTTCCTTGCTGTTTTCCCCTATATATTTCGGCCCTATGGCCTTGTAAAATTCATTCATTGTATTTCATTTCCTTACTCTTTGAAGTAATATTTGAGTTGGTGTGAAGCTAACTCTCTCTTCCTAATGAAATATCTCTGAAGTTGGCTACTTTTGAGTGTGTGTTAGGAGTCTATTTCATATAATAATAGTGAATATTATTGTGTGAAAAGAAACAGCCCCAAATAAAATAAGAGTGTGTTTATCTCTTATTCATTATTTGGTTTATCCTTCTACAATAAAAACCACAAAAGAACTCCCTTTTCTCTCCTAATTTCGTCCATCTCCTTTCTCCCATTTAAACACTTCATTTCTTCATCAAAAATCACTCCATAATATTGCTTTTCTCCTGCCCTTTATTCTGCCCTATCACCTCTTCCAAACAACCATGTTTTCTTCACCATTTCATACACAAATCCAACCTATTCTTGATGTACCCCGGGATGGCTCAAGCAAAACCACCCTCTCCCAAATATCCAAAAAAGTTTTCTCTCCTTTCTTTTATCAAAAATAAAATCTTTTCCATCAAAATGAGACCAAAGAAGACAAAATAAAACCTTTGTTTCTTGTTTTTTCCTTTTCAAACAAAACCACAAAATATTCTCCTCTTTCTTTCCTAATTTTGATCCTAAAAGCATGAATAATCGATTATACATAACTGATAATCGATTATCTGTGTTCTCAGAAAATACCCAGCTTTGTGCAAGCCTTGTTAATCGATTGATCATGCTTGTCAATCGATTATTCGGTTCCTCAGAACATTCCCAGTTTGAGCTAAACTCTATTAATCGATTTACTAAATGTGCTAATCGATTATTCCATACCCTGAATCCTGAGTGAATCTGTCACTGTTTATTTATCCTAAGATGGGGTATAAGGCTAAAATTATGTTCTGATTTTCAAAAAAGAATAAAGCCTTTTCTTCCACAAAACAAAAGCATGATCACTTTTGAAAGAAAGGAACAAAAATCAGAAACAAAGTCATTGAATGAATAGTGTTGTTTTGGCATTTTATTCACAAAAGTCTAAAGCTTGATTCCCCTTTGTTTTCTTCCTTATATGCACGAAATTTTTCCCTAAATAAACCCAAGGAAGATCAGCCCAACATCAGGAGAAGCATCTTGGAAAATCAGCTCACATGGATGGACACTAATCTTTGATTTTTAGGAAAGAAGTAGGAAGTTTCCTTTATTATATTTTTTTTATTTGTTGTTGTATTTCCCCCTCCATTGTTGCCTATATATACACAGGCATATGGCCATTGTAAGACAGCCATGGATTGAATAAAACTTCTTTGTTTTACTCTTTGAGTAATTCTTTAAAATAGTGTGATGCTATTTTAACCAAATTTCCTAATGAAATATCTCTAAAGTTGGCTACTTTTGAGTGCGTGTTAGGAGTCTAATTTTATACATTAGTAGTGATTATTAATGTGTAAAAGAAGATAAAAGCCCCAAGTTAAGATAAGAGTGTATCATATCTCTTAACACCAACTTGGTTTATCCCTTCACTTTATTTCTGCCCATTTCATTCCTCACCATTTCTTCTTCTTAAACTTATTCTTTTCTCTCATTAAAAACACCAAAAATAACTCTTTCCCACACTCCATATTTCATCCCTTCAGTCCTATCATCCATTTCCTTCCGCAAATCCGCCACAAAATAGCTACTCGATAAGACCCCGGGTCTCGGGTACAACAATTCTTCACCATATATTCCTCTCTATAATCTTCCCTTATTTATCCATAGCTTTTCCTAAGCTTGGGTACATCATTTGGTATCAAAGCTAGTTGTTGCACATCTCTCAAAGACCAAACACACTTCCCCAACCCCCTCCCTCAATTCGGCCTAACTACATTCAAATCCTAGTCCCATTTCATCACTTATCCTATCAACCATGTCAAACCAATCCCGAAGCATGTCTCATGAAGAACTCGTAGCCGCAAACGCTGCCTTGCAAGCTCAAGTGGAATACCTAGCCAAAGAAGTGGCTAAGCTCACAAAGCAAAAGATGTCCATGCTACGAGATAGTGAAGATGAAGAGGAAGCTAGCTCTAGTGCCACCATGAGAACTAGGGCTCACGAAAAGTCCCATTCTGACTTCAAAGTTGATATTCCAATCTTTGAAGGAAAGAATGATCCGGATGAATTTCTTGAGTGGTTAGAAATGGTGGAACGAGTCTTTGATTTCAAGGAAATCTCTGATGAGAAGAAGGTCAAGATCGTGGCCTTAAAGTTCCGAAAGTACGCCTCTACTTGGTGGACGAATACCACCACCAAACGGGTCCGAAGTGAGAAACCCCCCGTTGATTCTTGGCAAAAGATGAGTCTTTTGAAGAAGAAGTTCCTGCCCACCGAATACTCACGAGACAACTTTCCTAAGCTTCAAACGCTTAGGCAAGGTACGAAATCAGTGGAGGATTATACTCGGGAGTTCGAAGAGCTCTTGCTAAGGTGTGACTTGCAAGAAAACGAGGAGCAAACCTTTGTGAGGTACCTTTTCGGATTAAACACTCAAATAGCCAATACGGTGGAGCTGCAAAGCTACACTACTTTTGAAGAGCTTACTAAGTTGGCTCTCAAAGTTGAGGCTCAAATGAAGAAATCCAAAGCCATTCTCTCAACAAACCCTCCCCCTTACTCACGCCCCACATATACCCCCTCAAAACTCACCCCTACTGCCCACGGCCAAACCCCTAAACCCCAAACACCATCTAAGCCAAATCCTACTCCTTCCCCACCTAAAACAGCCCCTACACCCAACAAAAGAGCCCCCGTTTGTTACCGATGCCAAGGAACTAGTCACTACGCCAATGAGTGCCCAAATAAGAAAATAATGGCCTTGGTTGAGTATGATGTTGAAGAGTACAATCCCGTATGGGATGAAGAAGTAGCCGAGGAGGAGGAAGAAGAATGTGTTGGCCCCGACAACGGTGAACTTTTGGTCATCCGAAGGACCTTAAGTGCCATACCATGCCTCGAGGAGCAATTACAACGGGAGAACATCTTTCATACCCGTTGTACCATTCAAAAGAAGGTGTGTTCGTTAATCATCGATAGCGGGAGCTGCTCTAACGTTGCCTCCAAAACAGTGGTGGAAAAGCTACATTTAAAGGTGTCCCCTCATCCCAAGCCTTACACTATTCAATGGCTAAACCAAGGCAAGGGCTTACGTGTTGATACGAGGTGCTTGATCTCGCTGAGCATTGGCAAGACTTATAAGGATGACATTTGGTGCGATATCATTCCCATGGACGCATGCCACGTCCTTTTGGGACGTCCTTGGTTGTTCGACAACAAAGTGCAGCATGATGGCTACTTGAACACTTATTCATTCCTTATGAATAAGAAAAAAATTACCCTCACTCCCTTACCCCCACCTTCCTCACCCACGGTCCAAAACAGCAACACACCCCTCCATCCCTCATCTCCACTATACTCCAATCCGAACACCATGAACTTGAAGGATTCAAGGACCTCATTCTCCTTGATCTTGAGATGGCCGAACCCACTGCCCCTCCAAACCAGCCCCATCCTCTAGCCGTTCCCATCCTTGAACAATATGCCCACGTCTTCCCCGAAGATGTACCACATGGCCTACCCCCGAAAAGAGATATCCAACACAAGATCGACCTCATTCTCGGGTCTGCCTTACCGAACAAACCAGCCTATAGAATGAATCCCGAAGAAACAAAGGAGATCCAACGACAAGTGGATGAGTTACTAGCAAAGGGCTTTGTTCGTGAAAGCCTAAGTCCTTGCGCTGTTCCGGCTTTGTTGGTACCAAAGAAAAATGGTACATGGAGAATGTGTTGTGATAGCCGAGCCATTAACAAGATCACCATCAAATATAGGTACCCCATACCTAGGCTCGAGGATATGCTGAACGAACTTCACGGTTCGAAGGTTTTCTCAAAGATTGATCTTAGAAGCGGCTACCACCAAATCCATATCTTTGAAGGCAACGAATGGAAGACTGCCTTCAAAACAAAGTTTGGCCTCTACGAATGGTTGGTTATGCAATTCGGGCTAACCAATGCCCCGAGCACATTCATGCGGTTAATGAATCAAGTATTGAAGCCATATATAGGTCACTTGTCATGGTCTACTTTGACGACATATTGATCTATAGCAAGAGTGAAGAAGAGCACGTTAACCACCTCACGTTAGTGGTCAAGAGATTGGATGAAGAGAAGCTTTATGGGAACCTTGAGAAGAGCCAATTCTTCTCACAAGAAACTGAATTCTTGGGATATTTTATCTCAAGTGAAGGCATCAAGGTGGACGAGAGGAAAACGCAAGCCATAAGGGATTGGCCCATTCCCACATCAATGCAGCAAGTACGGAGTTTCCATGGTCTCGCATCATTCTACCGAAGGTTCGTGCGAGACTTTAGCACCATCACCGCACCACTCACGGACCTCACCAAAAACCAGAAGTTTGAATGGAATTCGAGAGCTCAACAAGCCTTCGAAACCATCAAAGAACGGTTGACACACGCCCCTGTGTTAGCCTTGCCGAGCTTTGAGAAATTGTTCGAGGTTGAGTGCGATGCATCCGGAGTTGGGATAGGAGCTGTTCTCTCCCAATAAGGCCACCCGGTGTCCTATTTCAGCGAGAAGTTGAATGATACGAGAAGGCGATATTCAACTTATGATAAGGAGTTCTATGCTCTTGTTCGGTCCTTAGAGCATTGGCGTCATTACTTGGTCAGCAAGGAGTTCATACTTCACTCCGATCATGAGGCCTTGAAGTATATTCAAGGACAACACAAGCTTCGACCCCGTCATGCCAAATGGGTCGAATACATACAAACCTTCACCTTCACCATAAAGCACAAGAACGGAACCTTGAACAAAGGAGCCGATGCCCTCTCCCGGAGACACCTATTACTAACGGCCCTTAGTGCCAAAATGGTTGGTTTTGAATTTTTGCAGGAGCTATATAAGGAAGGCGAAGACTTCAAAGACACGTTCTCCAAGTTTCTTGTGCGGCCCCATGGAGAGTTCCTCATCAAAGATGGTTATTTGTTTCGCGGAAATCAATTGTGCTTTCCGAAATGGCCCATTTCGTACCATGTCTAACCACACACGATGCTTCACAAATCGCTGACCTTTACTTCCGTGAGATCGTCAAGTTACATGGAATTCCCCGAAGCATGGTATCGGATCGAGATAGCAAGTTCCTTAGCCATTTTTGAATGACACTTTGGAGAAAGATGGGAACCAAGCTCAAGTTTAGCACCTCTCACCACCCTCAAACTGATGGTCAAACAGAAGTGACGAATCGAACCCTCGGTACGTTGCTACGGGTGCTAATCAAGAGGAATATAAGCAATGGGATGAGCTCCTACCCCATGCGGAGTTTGCATATAACTGGACACCAAGCAAAACAACCGGATTTTCTCCATTCATGGTTGTTTACGGTTCGAACCCCCTTACCCCACTTGAACTTGATCCTATTTTGATAAAACAGAAATACAGTGCGGAAGCCGAGGAAAGAGCTAAGGAGATTCAAGACCTTCCTGCCAAGGTACGAGAGAAGATTGAAGCCACCAATGAAAGGGTGAGTGCACGCATCAACAAGAGGAGGAAGTCTGCCATATTAAAACCCAGAGACTTAGCTTGGGTTCACCACAGAAAAGAGTGTTTCCCCACGAAACGCAAGTCCAAGTTACTACCCCGAGCGGATGGACCCTTTGAAGTACTAGAAAAGATCAATGACAACGCTTACAAGATCAACCTGCCCGGAAAATATGGAGTCTCCGCCATGTTCAACATTGCCGACCTCAGTCCCTACTTTGAGCCAGAAGATATTCCGAGTTTGACGTCAAACTCTTTTGAAGAAGGGGAGGATGTTATACCCCGGGATGCACCTTTACACGTGCCACTAGTATTACAACAAGTCAAGTGTTTAATGTCTAGGTGTTATGATCCATTTTGGGTTGAACTCATTGACCCGTCCCACATTAAAACCCGAACCATGACACTTCTCTCCTAAAAACCAACCTAGGCCGAAATGCCTACAAGCCCAACACACTCCCACATATCCAAAAGTATTTCATTTTCCTTTAATAACCAAAATAAAGTCCTTCATCTCCCTTTGAAGCCATGGCCGAAAATCCAAGAGACAAGGACAAACAAAATTGCTTTGTGTGTGTTGTTTTCTTTTCTAGTATTCCCTACTTTGAATAAAACCTTCCCCCACCTTTCCCTACTTCAAACCCACGAAATTACATTCCCTTTTAGCCTTAGAATCCATCTCCGTTCATCCCAATCCATTACAAAACACAAAAGACCAAATCAGGAGACAAGGATTAAACATGTCTTTTGTCTTGGTGTGAAAATCATTCAAAACCA